CAGTAGAATTTTGAGGGGGTGGGGGTGGAAGAGTGAAAGATTTAGGGAAAACAATTCCTGAACGGACCGAGGAAAAATTGTGAAAAATCTCCACTGAAGMTTTTATTTKTTTAAATTTACATCGGAGTTGACTGTCCTTCTGAGGGACAAAACTGAATCACGGCTCACGCTATAAAAAAATATTCACGCCTCACGGCTAATTTTTTCGCATTTTCACGACTCACGGCTAATTTTTTAGCCGTTTCACGGCTATTTTTTCTCATTTTTACGATTCACGGCTAATTTTTTAGCCGTTTCACGGCTCACGGTTAACCCCATTGAGACCCTCTTACTAGTTTTAGGATGACATGACTTTTATCTTACGTCAATCCGCTGACCCGGTTAGGCAGGTTATGACATCGTCTACTGTCTACCACGCCGCATGCCTATTTTATAACACGGATCGCCAAATGCAGTGTGTCAAACCATCTGCACTTTCTATCGAGCATGCCTATCTAGTAAGAATTCATTTTTTATCGAATTAAGGTCAACGACTGTCTTGCTCTCTCTCCTAAAGGTGATGAAGGGTATAGTAACCGTGCCTTCGAAGCAAAACGGTCGGTGAGTGTACAACGATAGAGCGTTTGTTCACACGCATAGACAAGTATTCGGCGTGTCTGTCATTGCGCGCTCGACGGTTGACTGGCTTCAATGCAAAAGCATGTTACCTGCATTTCAAGACAGCATTCACGACTTTCAAAAGTGGCGCGATGTGTCACGGTCGTCGATCAGGGGGACGAAGCACTAAAACGAGGTCTCAAAGGCCAGCTTCCATGGTGTCTTGCAAGAGTGTTTTGTTGTAAATAACATACCAATACATCTTTCAAACTTTTGGACACTGCCTACATACGATCTTCGTAGTGATTTCTTGATGGAAGGCCTTTGAGRTCTCGTTTCCATGATTCGTCACTAGTCCCCAATATAGGCGGACGTGAACTGGCGCCATTTTTGAAAGTCGTGTATAGCTTCCTATGAAGTAGGTCCATGGGATTTTAAATGCAGTGACTACGTACCTTACACCAACAACATTTAGTCCCAGATTCTTGGCCGTGGTTAGAATATCTGCWCAATCTTCAATTGCAGCCCCAAATTTAAAGCTCTGAAGTTATACATATACAAAAACTTAAAGTGATTGTGAAACTTGAACAGAAAATATTGTGTTTCTTTTGTGTCTTGATGTGATGTGATGTCTTCTTTTTTTCGATTTTCATTTTCTTGAATCCGTCACGACTATCAAATATTTTTGAGTGCCAACCTTTTGTCACAATGGCAGTTTGGGCTGATCCCTGTCTTGTTCTAATCAAGTAGTCCAGTTCTATCCTCCTTTCGACCCGACTAGCGGGRAAAGAGAGTCCAGYATGCGAATGTGCAAAACAATCAGATTAATAGATGTATTATTTTCGCTGCATGTCAACGATAACTAACTTAAAACGAGTGTCGAACGATATATATTGTTGACTAAATTGACTCTAAACTTATATCTGAAAGTAAGACGATTAAAACCTTTGAAATGACGAGGAAAAATAATACAATTGTTTTCCAGGTGCCAAGGACAATAATAATCACAGATGAAAATGACATTCCATCCCTGTTGACTTGCAGCTCTAAATAAAAGCCATTGTGATTGGCTGGCTACAACAATAGGCTCTATTGTTTATGCCTCGTTCTTTAGAGTCACTCTGTGTTGAGCCAACCAATTACCAGCAATGTTCTTTGGAGCTGCGACCTTGACCTTTCCATCAGTCTTTCTGTACCTTTAGCAGCCGCCTTTGCGTCGCAACGCTACTCAGAGTCACAAAGAATCATGTGAGTTTTCCTTGAAGTTCAACTATTGTATGTTTTGCTCTGCACTAATGTGTATTGACCACTATTTAACCGCGACAGCTACAAATTCACTTGGCCGATGGAATAACTATATATAAGGTTGAATGAAAAGCAAACTAGGACAAACTTCATCAGGGAACCACATACTTACAAGATTGTACAAGGCACCATCAATTCTTGGAGTAAAGCGAATCAGAATCCTGCAAACGATTTATGATTAATAGTGAAACAATTTTTAAATTGACACAATTTAATTTTTTATTTATTTATTTTTTAATTAAAAATACAGCTGTTTGCAATAATTCTGACCCCCTCTGCCATATTTCATATATATCAAACTGACCTTTAATATTATGGGATATCATGACTGATATATTTTTTGAGTTGTCCAGAATGAGTACTTTCTAAAAAAAATATCAGCAATGGTATCCCATAATTTCTAAGACTATTTTGATATATATGAATATTAGTGTAGGGGGGTCAGAATTATTGCAAACGGCTGTATATATATATAAATATATATATTTTTAAATTGACACATTTTTTGCGCAATTACATTCATTATAATATGGTTGAATAAAATTGTGTACTGTGATTGGCTTAGAGGAGTGGTATTTATCCTTAATAGTGGTATTTTAAATTTCACAATTTTATTCAACCATTTTATAAACAAATAATAATAACATGATTTGAAGTGATATTTGGGATAAACACCACTTGTGATATTTCAAAATTGTCACAAATTTGTTTGACAATTTTGAAATATCACGCGTGGTATTTATCCCAAATACCATTTCAAAACACGCTATTATCTATACAGAAAAGGAGATATTTGAACAACATATCAAACAAGGGGCTGACAAATACATATAAAATGAATAGCAAATCAAGGAAAGAGGATTCATTGAAGCATTCTACTAACTCTGCACTGCTGGGACAAATGTCTTTGATCTTCATCAGCTCTTCTTTGCTGTCAAATGTCATCATTGAAATACCATGTTTTGCTGCGAACCTAAATGSAAGGAAGTGTAATTCATGATAAAATKAGATATAACGTGCTATCTGCCTGATTTAGTCTAGAGACGCAGTGGWACCCAGGCCTTCAGCATATTAAAAAACACAGTACAAACCATTAAAGTGCAACTAACAACTTTAGAAATCATTTTCATTAAAAGAGGAAAAAAAAAGAAAAAAATATTTAAAAATTGCAAATGAATGCAAATGAAGTTACTTCAATCAAGCAATTATTCTAAGTACTAATAATAATAGCGAGAATTTTCATAACAATAGATATCCCATCATGCACCATCATGCATATTTAAGCTCCTACTAAGGTATCGAGTTAGTCTCATCTACGAGGCAGCCGACACATCTCCGAGCCCCACCCACCCACCCAGATGGTGTGTTACGATGTATACACGCAAGTATTCCGCTGTCAATAACAGTGGACAGCTTCCCATTTTCAAGACTTCCATATCATTCTTCGAATGTAATACTCGCGTGTATTGTTAGTAAGCATATATACTACGATTTCAAATGCATGCAACTATTAGAAAAGAGAACATTTTACCTGAGATGAGAAGGCTTTTTGCAGGGGTTRGCATATATGATGTCGTTTGGTTTGCATCCAATACTAAGTGCAAACTCTATTTCACCCTGAATGAATTGGAAGATCATTTTTGCTGGCAGTCCAGCGGTTTTATGGCAACGTTGAGTTGTGCTTATTAAGGATACTGGTCAACCGGTWCCCTTTACGAGCTTTTGTTTATGTTTGAAGATAGAATACATCATAATATAAGAAAAAWTTTTATCATATAATTTCAAGTGAACTCATTTCACATCATTACAGATCTAAAATACGACGAGTGCGTTGAATATCGGTCGATCATCGTCCTTTGAAGTCCTATAACATTATTCTTTTACTAATGGGATATTTCCGTCAGTGCAAAGGAGTGAAAATGTATACCTACTTTGCTAGCACAGTCAAACCCAGTTCCCAACAGCTTCAATTGGCGTACAAGGACTGGATCGGGATTACACTTGATTGCTAAAAGTTACAATGACATTATTTAA